GATAGGAACAAGGGTGACCTGGGTTCCAATAATTAATTCGCAGATTGATAGTGGACCGACTATCCACTTTGTTCACAAATAGTTCACATTTCCAATATATTATAGTAACACGTTCAGTCGGTCCGCAATGTGTTTCCTGAGTGACGTATGGAACTGGGAAATGTCCTGCGACAGTTTCTTGTGAATGATTGAGTGACTAATCAAGGGCTAATTACTGGCGCACGTCGGGTCGTCTTGATATGCGTTTTGGGATCTTGGTAATTGCTGTTGAACAGAAGGGACGAGGGGGTAAGTGTGAAATAGTGAGCGGGGTAATAGGGGCGGGAGGGAGGAAGGGAGGGAGAGTAGCTATTTTTTTAGCAAGAAAAGCGAATCACTTTGAAAAGTGAAATGTGAGGATCGTTATGAGAAAACTGTTGAACCCTTAGATTTAACTCTGTTCCTTCGTATCTCATCCCTTTTGATGATAATACCAAGTTCAACCCGTTATCCGGAAACTTGGCCGCCGCCACTTTTGACATTAAATGGCTCGATCAATCTCGCCCTAATGACTTATTACGATCGTTAATAACGTGTCAAAATTGGTCGAAGGGACAATTGTTCTTTAAGGGTGGCATTCGGTGAGGTTAATTTCGGGGTATTACGAAAAATTAATATCTCCCCTCCTCAAACGGTATGCAAAGTGTATTTGTGCTGTAAGCAAAAATTTTATTCTTGCGAATTTTTCCATTTCCCGAATTGCCGAGTCGATCGCTGACATGCGAGTTATTCTAGTAAATTTATGTGAGCGACGGTGTAAAAGTGGCACGGCGAGTGCAATGAAAATCCGCCTTTAAGAGAATCGACAGCTACGAAGAAAATACCATCCACTAACGCACGTAATGGGCTCTTGACAAATTTATGGCAGCTCGCTGATAGAGACGAGGCGCGGCAAACTACGACACGTATACTGTATATACAGGGTGTTTCATTAGATACATCAAGATTAAAAATATACTTTATCGACTGGTATACTTATAATTTATTCTCTGGTATGTCCTTAATAGACATATCGCAAAAATATAAAGAGGGTGCTTTCGCGACAAGCACTGCTTTTGGGAACAGAGTGATTTTTCCTGTCAAAGTCACACCCTTTCTCCGTGTCTGTATCAAGACACCCTGTATATATACAATACAAAAAGAGTATCACCTCATTTCGTAAAGAAACATTTAAAAGCATTTTCCTTCCATTGTCGTACCAAAGTTTATCCATTGTTGAAAAGACGGCTTTAGTAAAGTCCTGGCACGAGAAGTATAGTTACCGAATGTACAATTAAAACGCCTTAATTGAAATACCGCAACGACATTTACTCGCTCGCGAGAATTGCACGAAAATAATGACCAAAGATATTGTCCTTAATTAAACATTGTAAAACTCTCTAGTAGTAAACCAAAATTATCATAATTTTTCAAAATACTAATTAAAATCCAATTAATTTATATCCAACCACTGTAACAAGCCTACATATCGTTAATTAACCTGAAGAAAAATAATGATCCCGTTTACACGCAATTCGAAGATTTTTCACTAATTGACGTTTACCGCCCGGAAATATAACGTGTGTAATCGCCGAAGAGCCCACGACTCCATGGCTTCGTATAAAGGAAATAATTAGTTCTATTCAATTTCACCCAAGCATCCCTTTTACACCAGTCACCACTCTCTATTCTCGACGCTTAATTAAGTCCGTTCCATTGGGGTAGTGCGAAAGTTCTACGCGAACCATCACCGTCACCAGCTCCATCATTAACCATCAACATTATTCCCATCAGTACGATTACTATGCGAACGACCGTCGCCTCGCTTTGTGCATCACGCGTGCCAGTGTCTAATGCAATTATACCCACGCAAAAGCATCGCACTGGCGTGTCGATAAGCCAATTTCCGTTTCCGTGCTCGGTCATTACATTCAAGTGCTCGATATATCGCCCCTAACCAAAATAATGATAACAATTGAAAATCAAGTGATTATACCTGTAAAAAATTCGCAAATTTTCACAGTGACCACTCCCCTTAAAATTATACCCAATTTATAATCAGTCACCCGCATACGCACGATACAAAAGCACTTTTCCTTACGGTCAAGCAATACAATTTATCTCCCACGTAAAGTGCCCAACGCCCGAATTACGTTGCTTTGTGAATTAAGCGTTGCCGTTACGGAGTGACTCGCAATTATCGAGTCGTCGCGTTGCCGGCAGGTACAAAGGTCAGAGTGTGCCTTATGGGAAGACCAAGAGGTGTCTATTTCACAAAACAGTAGCAGGCTAATTCAGACACTCTCGCTCGTGACATTCTGGCCGTCTAATCGTCCGTGCCAGCTGGAGAAGGCCGAGCTTTTCTGGGCTCCCCTGGATCCATAGCTATACAATTACTATATTGCAGCTACTATAGCTATTGTGCTGTAACGTTGTTCTGTATATATGTATATACAGAGGCATCAAATGTACGCTAGGTATTATAACTATAGGGTGGTACCGTTGTATCATACCAGCGTACAGTTCACTGTGTACGGACATCCCTGTATCCAGACCGACTGTTTGCGGTGTGTAAGGTATACGCGTATTGCCATCAGTTACCGTCGCGTCTGGTTAACTGAAACAATTCTGGCTCTTGTATAAGGGTGAGTTTGTTCCTGGGGTTATCCGTGGGGTTGCAAGACATCCTATTGAAAATGTTAAATCGTCGACGGCCACATCAACCCTGTCCACCCGTTAGGTCAATCTTTCTTTACGGTTGTCGACGTGTACAATGCGGCTACAACCCTTTCGCATTTCTCATTCCGACTTTCGATTTGCCTGTTATATGGGAATTGGGGTAGTTTGTTATCGGGTCTGGATATGATTTATAGGAATGATTTCCTCGAATTGATTGGTGTGTCCTGATAAGTTATCGAATGCCGATAATCGTTGGAAAAATAACGTTGCTTGTTATTATTTCATTTAATTTAAAATCTCCCTCTTTCCCCCCACCCCCCACCCCC